TTAGTAACTTCTTCAAGGTACTAGGTCAAATGGAGATTAGAAAAATAGCCAAGAGTCCCATTTATTTTTATTTGGTATACCTGTGAGTTTTATATTAAAAAGACTTTGGTAAATGTAAATAAAAGTGCCCCAGATTGTTAATTCATGAACATATATCCGACTCTGCAAAGCAGCCTGGTTTTAAAACTGAAAAACGCCAGGAGGGATCAGATGTTTTCTTCCTGATTACATAGTGAATAAATAGGTGTAATCGGGTGGCAAAGTCTTTTCCATGTGTTTTTTAATAGCAGCTTTGATTTCTTTCCAAGAGCAGTGGTCTGTAGCAGTCTCATGTCAGCTGCAAGATTTCCTGTTGGTGTCATGATTTCTTCTTACTACATGTGGTGCCTCATTCTCTCCGCGAATTCAAGTTTTAGCAGCTGCTATTTTGGGAAGCACAATCAGCGTGGAGAGCCGCAGTGGTGTGCTGGTTTTTATCTCAGGCTCTCTTCCGACAGCTAAGGGGAGAACGTACCGGTGGAGCTGGTGCAGTTTGGGTATCAGTCCCACACTGGGACATGTGAAATAGTTCACTGTAGTGTAAACTATAAGTTAAATGGATTTAAAAGAGGAGAATGATGAGAACATGCCCGAAGAGACAAATTCATAGATGCTGCATGTCTTCAGAGGATATTTTCCAGGCCTTGGCAAGAGCCGATATAATAATGCTCTTCTGACAAACAGCCTGCGGAGCTGCTAATGGCAATAATGCACCATGTTTGACAACACAGGACCCGCTTAGTCCAGAGTGATGCTGCCCTGCCTCTTTGGTGCTGTTCGCTAGGATGCTTTTTGTGTTTCTTTTCTCACACGCATAAATTGGTATGATTTATATAAAGATCATTGAGTTCTCTTCTTCAGGAAGGTATTAAATTTTAAAAAATCATTAGATTTACTCTTGAAAACTGCAAAACTGCTTTCTTTCCTTGCTGATCCTAGAACTTGCCTTATTTTGCTTGCTTTGGAATAGTGGGCTGTGTAGAATTTTTTCTCTTGATTTTGACAGTGTTGGGGAACCGTAGTTCAAGGATATTCCTTAAAACAAATTGTCTCTTGTTTTCAGCCCTTACTGCCATGTGATTGATTTGCACTTCATACAAATGTATCATCCTTTTAAAGCTGGTTTCAGATTTAAATTTCATTTTATGGTATTTTGATATTAGTGCTATTTGATCTTCTCATAGATAACATAAGAATAAATCATCCTCACAACAAGGGAACATTCTGAGTTGGAATTTTCTGATTTTTAATTATTTTTACCATGATGTTATTGTCAGTTTCAGATGGTACAGTGGTTTTAATGAAGTCTTCTGATTTTATCCAGAAATATAGGCTTCCTGCTTCAGCTTCCCTTTGTAGGTTTATGGGCTTCAGGTCCTATTGCTGTGTTAGGACGTTACGTTTACAATGAATGTAGGCCAACCGTGAGGTGGCATTAGTGATATTAGCCATGAATTTTTCACAGATTTAATGCCAAAAAATAATAAAGCTCCACAAAAAAGTTTTATATATTCAGGAATGTTTTTGGATGCCAAATCCGTAGCCCTACAAAAGCCTATACGGTATTCAGATGATTAAAAACCTCTTGATGTTTGCCTTTTATGATAGTGATAATGTATCCTAAAGATCATCATTAACTTTTTAAGTGAAACATTCTTCAGTTCTAATTATACCCTGCCTAGTGCACCACACTTAGGACTATTATTACAACAAAAATTATGCCACGTGTGTATTTCCACGAACATCTACTGAACACTTGGTGTGTACCTAGAATGGTGCTCATGCATTCCCTAGAATATCTTTTTGGCTCTGTGAGCCTACCCCAACTTCCGCCAGTGAGGAGGAGTGACAGAGGTATAGCTCACTGCCCCGTTCGGATGAGGGATGAAGCTCAGAGTTCTAAATTGGAGGGCCAGGGCAGGGACTCCGTCCTGAAGCCTCCTGTCCCCAGCGCTGGGTTAATGCCAGACTCCTCAAGGAGGTTCTGTACCAGATTCTGATTTTACCCATGGGAGAGTGAGGCCAAGGTCCTCAGAAGGTGAGAAATCACCCGAAGTTCCACTGTTAAGTTTTCTTTCCTTTTTGAACCACTACAGTGTTTCCATTTGCCTCTCAACGGTCTGTTTTTTATTTAAAAATTATTTACTTGATGTTGCATCTTAACAAAAAGTACATCATTCTCTCCCAGCAAATATCACAACTACATATTAGTCCTTGAAATTTAAATTTTATCAGCTTTTTGAAGCTCTCAATTTATTTACTTTTTTTGTTAAGTATAGTATATTTTTGTGCTATTTAAATTCTTTTTTACAAGTTTTTTTTTATTAGTACACATTTGCTGTGAATGATGATTGCATTCCTTGTGGGGAGTTGGCCCATGTCCATTCTTTCTTCATCAATCCGTCTCTCTCCCCTCTTCCTCCATCTTGATGCCCTTCCCATCCGAGGAAGATCTGCCTCCCTATTTCTTACTATCTTTTATTTTGGCCTTCTATGTATTTATACTTTGGATTTCCCATATAGAGAAACCATATGATATTTAAGCTTGTATGTCTGATTTATTTCCTTTAACACTCTGGTCTCAAGGTACGTCCATTTTCCTACAGATGACTCACGTTTTCCTAGTTTAAGGCAGGGCAGGACTGCATTGTGTATAAATGCCACATTTTCCTTATAGATTCATCCGTTGATGGACATGTTGGCCACTTCCAAGATTTAGCTATTTTGAGTTGTGCTGCTATAAACATCTGTATGCATGGATCACTGTAATATGATGTTTTCAACTCTTTTAGGAAGATATCTAGAATAGGACTGGCTAGATTGAATGGAGTTTCTAGTTTTAGTTTTAGAGGAATCTCCATAGTGGTTGTTCTGGTTTACACTCCCACCAACAGTGCAGAAGGGCTCCTTTTCCCCCTTAGCCTCACCAGCACTTGTTATGATCTGATTTCTTGATTATGACCATTTTTCTGGTGTAAGATGGAATCTCAGTGTTGTTTTAATTTGCATTTCTCTAATGGCCAGTGATGTTGAACATTTCTTCATGAACTTATGTAGCATTTCTACATGTACTTCACGTATTTCTTCTGCGAAGTGTCTGTTCATTTGTCATTTTTGATTGGGTCTTTTATTTTGGGAGTGTCTAATATTTTTTGAGTTCTTCATATATTCTAGATATTAGTCTTCTATATTAGGTATAGGAATCAGTATGGAGATTCCTCAGAAAACTAAAACTAGAAACTCCGGTCAACCTAGCTAGTCCCACTCTAGGTATCTTCCTAAAAGAGTTAAAGACATCATATCCCAGGGATCCATCCATACCCACGTTTATAGCAGCACAACACGCGATAGCTAAATCTTGAATGCACCCAAATGAGGATTTTTACACAGTGCAGTACTACTCTGCCATAAACTAGGAAAACTGGACTCAATGGCAGGAAAACAGATGCACCTTGAGCTAGGAGGAATAGCTGGCAGAATTTGTTTCCCATTGCGAAGGTTCTCTCTTCACTCTGCACACTCACTGTCTCGGGGTGAGCCCGACACTTCCACTAACCGGAAGTGATCTCCACTCCTAACCCAGGCTCTCCCCATCCCACTTCATCCTTGAGGTCTGGATCTCTTTGTAATTTTTCCTGGATGTCTCCACCTGAAAGTTTTAAGACAAAAAACTTAAATTATGGGCTGTACGGAAGTTGAAATTGTTAACATCCTCCATCAGTTTGTTGATTTCTTTCAAAGTGCGGGTGTTTCCTAAAGACCCTGTCTTAGAATAACTGTCTGATATTCTCTCAGCTCTGACTGTATTATGCCCCCTCGCCTTGATCATGGGGCCTGGATGCTTTTGATTCCAGAATTTTCAGTGTTGAGTTCTCTCCTGAGTTTAAACTCTATTTTTAAAGTATTTACTTGATTTATCTTTCAGAGTGTAGTACATGTTTCTCAGATACAACAGTTTGTATTCAAAGTTCTGCATTTCCACTCGTCGCCAAAAGATTTTTGGAGTAATGTATAATTGACTTGGATGAAAGATTTTACATTTCCTCAGGCTCGGAAGCTAGACTCTTGTGTGTCATTCTTTACTCTTTCCTTGATTTCAGGGCCCACATCTAATCAAATATCAACTTTTAATGAGTTTACTTCTACAATGCCTGTCTTGTGTTTGTTTTTCTGCTATCTTTCTGGAGCCAGTATCTTAATCTACAGCTGGTGTCCTTGCCTCCAGTCTTGTGCCATTTCATAGGGACTGCTGGGCTGCCTGGGATTCTAGGATGTGTCAGGAACTGTGCAAGACAGGAAAGACTGAAGGTCCCCTGGTTTGGATGGCTGGCATTATCACAGAGAGGCCGATCGGCACTCTGCTCAGCCCGCCCCCACCCTTTGCACCCTCTCAGCTCTTCTCTTATCTCCCTGATACAAACTCAGCGGAGGAGGTCATTGAAGTCTGCTGTCACCTTTCTCCACAGCTGTCCCTTAGTGCTCTTGTTCACTGATGAGACTTTCAAACCTCATTCTCAAGTTTTCAAACACATTTGGCCCTGGGTGTGCTTGGAATGTAGGCTCCACTCTCAGCCCTAAAAGCTGCAGATGCTCAGGGCTCTGTGTAAAGTGGCTTGGAATTTGCATGTAACGTGTGTACTCCCGCTGTGCACTGTAACTCATCTCTCCTTAAATGATCTGATTACTTACACCTAGTACAGTTAAATGGTGTATAAATACTCTTTATATGTTACTACTTAGACAAGAAAAAAGTCTGTGTATGCTCAAAGCAGATCATGCTACATCCTAGTATGTCCCCGAGTGATACAAAGAAAACTTCTTAAAAGAAGCTTTTTAGATAAAATAGTTCCCTTAAGATTTCTGAGGCATTTTAAAGGGGATCTTTAGTGTGCTAAAAATCTTTCTAGGGTCTCCACACAAGTGACGGCCAGGTTTAATGTAGTGCTTTTCTTTTGCTGCAGGTACACGCTGGTGGATATCTTGCGTGCCATCTTGCTTTCTTTAGAAGCCATGATCGAAGATCCTGAGCTTCAAGTCAATGGGTTTGTTTTGATCATAGACTGGAGCAACTTCACTTTCAAGCAAGCCTCCAAACTCACACCCAGCATGCTGCGCTTGGCCATCGAAGGCCTGCAGGTAAGGATGTGCCGGCCACCGCTCCTCTGTCTTCCAGGTTTGGCTGTCTTTGTTTAGTGAGTTGGAATACAAAATGCCTCATGGAATAACAAAAGCAGCACATATGTAGCTTTTGAGCATAAACATTAAAACACTAACCGAACAGACGATTGTACAGAAAAGCTGAAGAATGTTAGCCTTTTAATAGGTGAGAGTTTCTGGTAGTTGGCAGAAGCCCTGTCTATATTTAAACATAAATATAGAGGATGAACTGAGATTTTCCTTAATAATCAGAATGTGTAACATTCTGGGTTTGAATTTTTAGCTATTTAGGTTTTTCTTTTTCTGTTTTTATTAGTTCATTGCATAGATATTTGTTTTGATATTCTGTTTAACTTAGTGATAACATTCATGTTATCTGAGGTTAATCAAGATTTTTTTTGGTCTCTAAGTAACAAAAAAAATCAGTGCTTTGAATTATTTCTTAAATTTAATTGGATTTCTTTGGTGGGAGGGGGTGCCACATGGACCTTGTACAGTAATGGTGCATCATGCAGGGACTGATATTTAACTGGTTGGGAATTATAACATGCAAAATGAATCGTTATTTAGTGTGATGTCATAATCCTGCTATTGTCTAGTTCTTTGAACTTTTAGGATGTCCTTGTGCTGTCTCTCTACTATGTGCTGCTTTGTGTGTAATATTTATGGAATTTATTTTAAGCTTCTGCAAACATTTGCAAGTTCAACTGGGTGACGTTATTTATCCTCTGTTTCAACACATATTCCAGAAATTTGCAAGTTAATAGCTAAGTTTTTGACTTTTATCACTCAGAATATCTTTTATTTTAAAATCATGGATTTGACATTTTTTATGTTAAATAATCTGGGAGGATCCAAATCTTTTCCACCCCATGGGAGTTTCTGACCGTGACTCCAGGAACCTCATTGAAGACCGCTGACCCCCTGGCCACGGGCCATCTGGGTCCTTGGCCGGACGTCCCAGCCCCTTTGAGTTCACAGCTTGAGCCCTGCCTCTGGGCTAGGGAGAACACTGACCGCTGTCCTGTCGGTTTCTCCTGACTCCGCTCCCTTGCTCCTGTCTCATCTCAGACAGCACCTTTCTACTGTTTTAACACCACAGATGTCCTTATAAGGCATGAGAGAGGACGCAGGATGAAGCATGCTGGGGGATGTGTACATTGTACGGAACCAGACCTATTCTGCCCCATTACCAGCAGTCTGGGAAGAAAATTGGTTACCCTAAACTGTGTTACTTAGCACAGAGTGGCAGACTGGCCTTTGGTCCTAATTTAACCCATGTCTTCCCTGGGAATTAGAGGCTGGGTAGGCCTTCAGCTCTCGGAAGGGCTGGAGGTGATACTAATTAAAGAAAAATTCAAAACTCTGGAAGTACAGCCTCAGTGTTTTGGTGTTTTCTGTCTTGAATGTTTTATGGCCGCACTGCATAATTGACGATGGCACTGTAGAGAACAGATTGATAACTCAGTGTTATTGTGAGCTTCCTTCTTAGCCGGGGCCACTGGCAGAGCTTATCTAAGTGCTCAGTATGAGGATACAGGAGTTGTGTTGAGATCAAACCTTTGTGCTTGTGTCTAGAGAGGGAAACCATCCACCTCCTTGCATGGACCTGCACGGCCACACATAACTGGCTCCACCCTGGTGCCCACAAGAAGCTCAGTCTGCTTCTTTCTCCCAGAACTCGGAATGAAACAGTGATGGTTCTGAACCCTAAGAGAGGAGGATTGCTCAACACGTTCTGTTGTGACATCCGTGCGTGGTGTCATATTTATTCTCATCTGAAAACATGTTCTGACTTTTCAATGAGGTCCCTGCTTTACTTTGCATTTACTGTATGAAAAATAGTATTGAACATTGCTGAATGCTTCACTGAGGATAATAATAAATAGTTTTTCAAGGTGGACATAAGACTGAAAAACATTTGAAGACAATTGCACAATTTTAGGTTGCCAAATATAACAACCACCATCACCAAAACCACCAGCATCATAATAGTAAATATTTTCCGGTTAACTCAGTGATGGAAATTAAGAAATGAAGAAGTGAGACTCATTTTAATAACTTGGTGATAATTTGTGTCATGACATAATTCTATTGCAATGTTACTTTTATTTAGACCAATGTAAAAAATATTCTAGGGCATGGAAGCAAGAATATAAAAGTAGACCAGATAGTTTAAAGACGTGTTTACAAATGGGTTTTACTGTTCAGAAGGGACCCTGTCCCTTCCTCTGGAGATGGCTGAATATCCTGTTCTGCTCATCACTAGCCTCCTTCACCTCGAGCAAAGCGCGTCTGCAGCGGCCTGGCTAGAGATAGCCCCTGACACCTGTGTGAGACACGGGGACCTGAGGGTGACCCCTGCCCTGCTCGCCCTCAGCGGAGACAGCAAGGAAGGACCGGCATAGACCGCCCATGGCCGACAGTGTGTGGGGCCAACCCTGCTGCGTGCTGGGGACGCATTTCTCAGCTTGTTCGAGTCTCCGTTATTCATCCACACCCATTTCCTTAGAAATGACACACCTGGACCTCACAGGAGAGAGGTCGGTGATTAAAACGGAAGTAGATCAGCTCACTTTCCAGGGGGCGTATTCCCCTAGATGTGCTCCTTTTCTCAAAATCCAGGGACTGCCTTCTTGGAGTGACTTATTGCTGATTGACTTTGGGGATCCGAGTAATATTGGATATTTGCAGCTCAGACTGCAGATACTCAGACTGCAGTTTTTCCTGTGACTTCTCTGATGAAATGGCATCTAGATATTTTCACATTGGATGCCCAAGAAAATATGTTTTGATGTTGAAAGCAAAAAAGAGATTGTTTTACCTGGTAAAATTTGATGTTTGTTTCTTTTGGGAGAAACTCCTGGCACTGCTGGAAAGGTGGTTGTGAAGATATCCTTGACTTTGAAGGTTCTAGGCAAAAGCTGCCCAAGTGGACAGGGACAGGGAGAGTATTTCAGCAAGGGGGCGTTGGGAAAAATACTCAGGACAGGCCAAGAACTTGAGGAGGTTGGAAGTATGTAAAGACCTGCTTTGGGATGGCTACTAGGGGAATGATAGGGAAATGACTCGAGGTGAGCCTGAGAGGTATGCTGAGAGCCCGTGTACGGGAAGGAAGACTGCATGCTGTGTGCTTTGGCCTGTCTGTTGGGCGTAGCAGGTTTGGGACAGGAAAGTGTCCTGATTCCGTTCTGCTTTGGAGGGGTCTTTTGGGTGGAAGCATGGGGTTGGATGGAAGGAAAGAGAAGTTGAGTCTAGAGAATTCCCAGTGTATCCTGGAGATAATCACATATTAATGCCATTTTATACGACAGGGAAATGAAAATCCAGAATTTAATAGGCTGAGGCAGATTTTCTCAGCGGACAGTAAGGCTTGAGCCCAGGTTATTGGATTCCAATATCTTCCTTGAATCTTGATATTTCTGCTGATTCTCAGCCCTGTCCTTAAGAATAAGTGGTAGGCTCAGCTGAAAGTAATGCCCCAATTCAGCCCTAAATGCTCACATTTTAATAGAGGTGAAATTTCCTTACTGGGAGAGAGAGCTGCACTTCTCTGTAAAACAGTTACAGGTTGCTGCCTCTGGCCTCGTACTTCATTAACATGAAGGCACAGGACCGTTGTCTTTCTGGGTGAGCAGCCTCCTCCTGCAACTGCCACACTCCCAGGTCTCCGGGATAAGCAAGGGGCCAGGGGAAAGGCATGCTGCAGGATGCTGAGAAGGTTTTCTATAAACACGACCACAAACCGTTAAGCTATTTGTAAGTTGACTTCAGGGCAATTCTATACACTTTCTCTGTGCAGAATCTCCAAATGCTTTACAACTATGAAAGGCATCAACCATTGTTTCCAATGTGATGTAGTTTCTCGAGGTAAGAGCCTGTACGTATTTTTCTGGGAAGAAAGTATTCAGGCTTCATTGGAGAGAGAAAAAGCAAAAAATTGTTTTGCTGTTTGCAAGGAGTTAATTGATTAGGGTTGTCATAGAAACCGGAAGTATTTCTTAGAAAATCAATATAAGGTTAAGCGAATGTGGCTTGTGGACTGCCAGATATCTGACTGGGAAGCCAATTAAAACATGGAATGTTCTGAACTACCTGGGACAGCTCAGACTCTGAATTTACAGTGAAATGATATACTTTTAATATTTTTACTTTCTGTTGCTGTTTTTTTCCTTGTGAAATATCTTGAGAACTTCTTTTGTAACGAAAACCTCAAACTACTTTATGAATCTAGAATTTCCCAACTTGTAAATTTGTTAAAATTTATCTCAATCCTCCCTGTGTTGTCTGCCGCCCTTCAGATGTGCTCGGTGTCGGTGTCGTCTCTCTCCTGCTGTCCAGCTGTCTCTCTGCTGCAGCCTTCACCATTTCACAGGAATCCCAACCACAGGACAGAGAGTTGGCGGGGCGTGGCTTGCTTTCTGGCCAAGGGCTTGGCTGTCGCCAGGCACTGAATAGCTCTTAGAATTGCGACATAGAACTCAGGTGTGGGACCACTGTCAAGGGCCTAACGCAGTGCCAGATGGCCCAGGAGCCCTCGAAAGTGACTGTCAGCACATCACTGGCGCTTTCAGGGCACGGGAGGGCCCAGCGTGGCAGCAGCCCCCAGGCTGCGCGCTCTGAGAACTCTTGCCCTTCATGCGGAAGGCAGGAAGCGCTGCTGGGCAGACTCTGGCTCCGAGTCCTCTGAAACCCTGTTCTGCACAGGGAGCCAGAAACAGGGGACCTGCTCGTGGCTTGGAACACCCCTGTTCCAGCACGTGAGGAGCCCCACGAACCTCAGTCTCAGCTCAGATTATTCAGTCTTCCAAATCCTACTTGTGTTGTGGGGCACTTCGAAATGGCACGGCTGTGTGCATGTTTCAGGAAGAGTAGAAAAGGAGCCTGGGTGAGATGGTGATTAAATTAGGAATTCATACTGAAACAGAAGGAGCCTGTTCTTTACAGCGGTGCTCTTTGAAAGGGCTGTTAACCTGCCC